CTAGCACTAGCACTGGTACTAGTACTCATTCTTCAAATTTAAATCACCTGCTTTTCGTTTTGCCCTGCTCCTCCTCCTCCTTCTAATAAGGGCTACTTGGAATTGCAGATTAGGAATCAATAAATCGAAAGCCCACATGCTGCTTAAAAGCCAATCGAATCCTATCTTTTTCGAGAATCAGATAATCATGGCACTCGTAGGACATCTCCTTCACTACATTTACTTTCGCCTTTCCTTGCACCTCTTACATGTACCAGTGCTTCTTTTTGTTGCTTGCATTATAACCGTTGTTTCGCATACTTCGTCACCTTTACTTCACTTTCTTTCGCATGTAATGATACCTACCTGTGTTCCCCAAACAGAGTGGTGCAATTTTGGTGTTCTCATGTTGGGAGGAAAAAGAATTGGTCAGTGTCCATTCGCAGGCGCAAGCACAGAAACAACTCCGGGACGCGGCTCCCGCTGTGGCGCGGTGCAGATGTTGCGTTCACATCCAATTGTCTATAGACAAGATTCATGGTGAATTCCAATACGTTGCCAACCTGTTGGCATCGAAATGTCTGAATCCCGCCAGTACTCGCGGGAGGCGCTTTGGCCGTCCGCCGGAAAATTACCAGTACGTGGTAGAAAGCATTTGGCAGTGCTTTTGAAGCCGCCAGTGCTTGCTGGAGGCGTTTTGGCCGTGCTCCTGAATCCCGCCAGTACTTGCAGGAAGCAGTTGTGCCTTGCGCCTCAATGTCGGCATGTGCGGGAAGCAGTTTGGCCGTGGTGTCCTGGTTGGTGTCATGGTCCGTGCTCTCCTGTTGCTCTGGTTGTGGTCTCTGGGTGGTCTCCTGGCTGCTGGTGGCCCCGGTTGTGGTCTAACGCTGGCTTCCCGCGGTCTGCTGGCAGTCTCCAGGGCTCTCCTGGTTCTTGTGCTGGTCCTGGTGGTCTCCTCGTGGTCTCCTGATGGTCGCGGCTGGTGGTCGTGCAGGTCCTGGCGGTCATGGTTGTCTTCGTCGTCGTAGTCGCCATGGTACTGTGGCATGACCCTTTTTTCACCGTTTTAGTTCAACCAGGCATCAAAACAGAATACAAGGCACGAGTATCAAAGACTGTGGTTTCATCATTGGTTTCCTACATGCGTGAATGACAGATGTAAGGATGTAGAAGTCTGGGTGGGGGCTTAGCGATTGTATGGCATCGGCATAGATTGTATTGCTCTGCTGGATCTGTGGAGCATCCTGGAGTTGGCGTGCAGCTTCATTTCGTGCCAACTGGGCATAGAGCACTTGCTTCAAATCTCACAGCTCCCCACCCCAAGCCCGGCGTTGAATGGTAGGAGCTTCAAAATGCAGCAGAATCATCCCTTATATGTGGTTGTGCACTGTGTGTTCTGGCCCCCTACCCCCCTCAACGGAATCCCGCCCAATACAAGGTTGAGCGCAGGTGCGGGGGGGATCGTTCCACAAACCGGAGGAGGGCGGGGGAGAAGGGGCATCAAACTCCGAAGCTCAAGGTTCACTGGGGACAGGGGATGATCACACGCAAAGCCGGGCTTAAACCAAACCACCCAAGCGAATGACCAAATGGAGGGATACCGTTGGCGGGGGAAGGGACGGAGGGGGAGGTGGGGTGCCGCCACACTTAGGCTTCAAGGAGCTACGAATTAAGGATTCAGAGTTGCCTTACGCTTGCTTAGAAGTTTCTGATAAGCTTTTGAGCGTTAAGCCTGTAGCCCATGATCTGTCCAATCTCATGCTACTACTACCGCCACCACTACTACTGCTGCCGCTACTAGTGCCAGTGCCACTGCCACTGCCATTGCCGCTGCTACTGCTACCACTACTGCTACTGGTACTGCTTCTGCTCGTACCAGTTTCAAAAGAGTGATTGAACGGAGCTTTGGCGATGATCTTTCAGCCACACATGCCTGACATGCTTTAGCCGACATATGCCGACATGCAATACTCTCTGCTGGCACGTTGCACAACTGGCAGGTCTCATCTGCAATGCAGAGGGCTCCCCCCTGTCCAACACATGTCTCTTGCTTCACAGGGAACTACATCCACTAGAGAACCAACAAGAACATAGAAAGGCAGAACCATGCCAACACATTAATGAATAATACACCCTTGTTGGTGCCCCTCTGCACGTCTCCTTCCCGAACCAGGACACGTCCTCAAGATGCCGAAAATCCAACGAACATGTGCCTGCTCAACCCGCTTGCACACTGTAGCTGCACAGGGCCTTGAACAAGAATCTCCCCACAAACCCGGGTTGTTGCATCTTCCCTTGAATGATCGAGTTCATTTACTATCGCCAAAACGACATTTCAATCACTCGACAGGAATCAAACGCTTTTGCCTCGGTGGAGGCTGCCGCAAGATCGCGGAATGTTTGTGCTGGCAAATCGTCCTACCAAAGCAGCTGCAGATATGACTTAGAAGCACTGCAAAGAGCATCTTAAGGTCGCTCCTCGAATTGCGGAGCCTTGCCGATCGCCCAAACTTCTGGATTCCTGTCTGGCAGCCGTGCAGGATCGATACCAAGGCCGCACAAGCAAGACCAAAAATGATATGTCTTAGGCAAGGAACAGCAGCGGCGTAATTCGACGCAATGCTCCGGAGCGTGCATCCTTGCTCCAGTCTCAGTTTCATCGGCAATTGTGTTGTCAGTTCCGGTCTGGCATCCATAAACCGCACTCGAAAGAACTTTTGCAGCTCTAAACTGGACTACCTCGCAGAGCCACACGACATAGGCAAACACGCACAGAGAGAGACACAAAGCATGCATCAACACGGCGGAGAGAGAAATACGAAAGAAGCTAGAGGCCTGCCTCTGAACGCTTCTCAAAGCTCCTTCGGTAGCTCTCGGTGGAGAAGCGCCTGAGTCTTGATCACACGTATCTGTGTCCAGGAATAGTCTACTGTAAAAGCTCCGCAGATCTGAGTTTTAAACAAGTACACCAGCAGCCATACCGTCTGGAGAAGAGAAGACATGCCTGTTACATACATCGTTCACCGAGACCCCATCTTCTGCTCCGGTCCAGGAAAGCTGCTCGGGCTCTCGCTTCTTTGTTGCATGTTTCCGTAACAGCCCAGGTAAGTGTGGGCGACCTGGCGGAGCTTCAGCACAGGATCGGACCACCTTCAAACACTTGCAGGTATGACGAACATGAGTTCGACAAAGACACCCTACCTACCTTGCAAAGGATCTCCATCAGCGCCTTGGCTCACTATGAACCCCTCTTCCAAAACTCTGTTTAACAATCTGCCCGTTTCAAGTGTAGAAACACAGAACGGAAAACTGTTGGACGGCTTCCTTGGCGACTCGGTGCCGGGCTTGGAAACCCACCGAGGAGACGGTGGTTTGCAGTCGAGAGCTCGCCTGCTGGCACAAGGCCGACACGATGCAGTAGCTCTGGTGGCTCTGGTGGCTCTGGCCTCGCGCACCTTCACAACAAGACGCTCCCAAGGAAGCACTGACCTGTCAAGGGCCGCGTTTCTGTGCGAGTGCGAGTGCAACGTCTGAGGCAGCAGCCCCAAGCGTTCATTGGCTGAGTGCCCGGAGATGCTGCTGGCCTGCCACAGGACCATGACACGAATTGAAAGAGTTTTGGCGTCCACCTTTGCCTCTATCGAGCGCCGTCGGCTTTGGGATGGCGAATCCGACACGGCCGCATGCCTCGCATTGATCTTGCCGAGGCTCACAATCGTTGACCTGTCGGCAATGCGAGACGCACCGTGCAAGTGGACAAAAACAGCATGACAGAGCACAGAACATGGACTCCATGCACCTCTTGTTCCTGAGGCCGCTAACATCTGAGGGTCCTAAGTGGTATTCTGAATGAGTGCGGGCCAATGCCTGACATTGATCACGGCATGTCCGAGAACCTGACGCCTCGACGACCGAACACTGTCCTCACGGAAGAGCGCTTCAAATGTTTGGCAGCTTTAGTTGGGACCTTGAACAAAAAGAGGCAACGAGCCAATCCTTCCCCTGCTAAGCGCCTAGAATTTGTGTGGGAGCGCCAAGACTTAAACGCGAACTAGCCTTTCATAGAGAACCTTACAAGAGCCTTGAGACAACGTAGCCGAAAAATTGCGGACCAGGCACGGAGTGGGTCGGGGTGGTGGCGGCAGAAACTGAGCGTCGCCGCCCAGACGCCTCGCATGCGACATGCAAGCCGCCTGCACCCCCAGCAGGATTCCAAAGCTGAGCTGCAAACTTGTGGTGATCGCGAAGGGCTGGCACCTCTCCCCTTCTTCAAGTTGAAGTCTTGGCCTGACAAGAAGCCACTTGAGCGCCGGTGTGCCCGCATTGCCCAGCAAACAGAAACTGGGAGCGGCTCCCAAGCACTCGATCCTGGAAGGCAAAACAGGAACATGATCCCAAACGCTTTGATATCGCTTGATGCCTTGCAGGTGCTCCAGTCGTCGCGTCCAAGCACTCGGCTGACCTCACGCAGAGATCATTCGACTGCCTAACCAGTGCATAGTACGAAGCTCATCTGGGGTTGCTCGCTCGTAGATCTTGCGAAGTTGATGCAGGCTGATTAGATGCGGTGCCTGCACGTCGGAACTACCGAGCCAAGCACAGTTGGCACCACTTGCATCTTGGGGACCGGCCAGAGAAAAGTCTTTGCAAAGTTGCGTCAGAGCTGCGAACGTCATGTGGCCTCTGGCCGACTGCATATCTAGCAAGACGTTTTGATGCCAATCGCGCCTTCATGGTCCGCATATGCGGCGTGTAGGGCTTGAAACACAGCCTCATGCTGCCACAAAAGATGAAGCACCTGACAGATCTGAACGAACTGAAGAGACCTCTTACAATGGATGAACGGCTCACGCTGCGGACTGTGGACCTCAGGCTCCACCAGGCTTCCTTTCTGTCGCTGGCCTCGTGCTTCCTGCAGATGGCAGAGGTGACGTGGACAGAGGGACAGCACTACCGAACTCCTCCATTCTGACCATTTGCTCTTTGCTTGCAGTGCCCTCAGTTGAATGACCCGGCGAGATGCTCATGTCCCCGCCACACATCAGGGTACTGTGTGCACGACCAACTCTTTCGCTTCGTTGCCACTCCTCCAACCCGAAATCGAACTACCTTCTAACATAAAGAAGGCCACAATCGTGACTAACATCGGCATGCAACTTACGTCACTAACACTACTCCCTGATCTGCAATTCGGTAGGTCCTGGACTCAACAGCTTTTGAAGGCATCTCCTGGCGACTCACAGCCCACAAGACCCTCGATTCTGCGCATTTCTGGAGGGTCCTCGTGTCCCTTCGCCTGCTCATCGTCGCTTTCGTTCGGGTCGGCCTTGACGCCTTGAAGCACCAGCTCAATCTGGGCTTGACTTATGTTGAAAGCCTTGAGAGCATAGGCTGGAAGCCGGAATCTGGATATCTCCGCAACGTTCTCAATGAACTTGACCCGCAGTGCTGTCGTTGATGTGCGAAAATGTTGACAAGCTAATACCTCAACTATCGCCAGAACGTCCCACCACTTCACCATTGGCAGAAGGGGCGCGGACATAGGAATCGGATCATCTTTGGCACAGACGCGAGTAGTGTGTGACAGGCAATCAAAAAGGGATAAACTCCAATAGAGCGGAACCTTCCTTTGGTCGACGAGCCCGACGTCCAGTACAAATCGAGAGAATGTGGCACGATCCATTCCAAGCTCTGCACCACCGAGGGGCCAGGAAGCAAAGGACCATGCCCTGAATATCTCGATAAGAGCCTGCGACTCTGTTCGTCGAAATTTTCTGGATTGACTTGGCCAGCGGCGGGGAAAGCCAGGCTTCGAGGACCTCTCCCGATCCATCTCGCACTCCAGACTCTCAAGCGGCACCGATTCTGGAAGGAACTCCAAATAGTAAGGCAGCTCGGCAAACAAAATGTCGGATTGCCGCTTCTTGACATCAGCATCTTTGTGGCGGTCTGCCTCCTTGATTGAATCGGAAATCCCACGGGTGTGCTGACTCCAGCGCTCGAAGTCCGCAGCCAGTGCCTCCTGTGACAAGATGAATGCCTTTGCAGAAGGCTTCCTTGTCTCGTCTGCCAGGGACTCAGTGAGAGACCTTTGAGGGGCCACAGGTTTCGGAGTAAACTGCTTGGCTGCAAATGCCAATCCCAGTCGCTGGAAACGGCATTTACCAAAACTGTCGAAGTGGTCTGACAGAGTCAAAGAACTCATCTTTTGATGAAGATCTTGCCTCTGGAAAAATCGTGAGCACTGACATCCTCCGCCTGTTTTCGTTGAGTGCGAAGAAAATTCAGGTGCTGCGGCAGGACCGCTGATGCAACCTCAGGTAGTTCGGCAATGTGCTCCGATCGTTGAGCACGGCGAGCTAGATCTCGAGCGGAGAGTGGCAGAGACGGCTTCACTGCAGCCCGCGTCGGAGTCATAGAGGAGCCATCCACTTCGACAAGGTTCCCAGAAACGAGCGAAGAAAGAACTAACGGAAGCGCACCGTCTTACGACTATTGCAATGAAACCTGAGCACCTAAGCAGAAGTGGCTGTCAAACCTTTAAGCAGCCAATGCCTGCGGCACTACAGCAGGCCCCTTGAGGGCCTCTGTGAGCCTTGAGGCGGCGCGGCGGCAATAAAAACCACACAGCATGGAGCCTAAGGGGCCTAAGGGCCTAAGTTCTGATGCCGCATTCGACCCGGCCTTGTGATCATTGTATTTCCGGATCCTCAGTCAAGCTTGCCCTCTCCGACAAGGGCAGCTGAGCAGCAATGCATCTGCAATCGAAGCGACGTACTTCCGCAACATGCCCATAATTTCCTCGTTGTACACCTTGGATGCATCGGCTCAGCACAGCCATGTTAGGCCAAACTATTCATCCAATGCCGCACACTTCTTGGCCTCTTGCATTGGCCAAGTACTTGACATTGCTATAGCCTGCTATCTGCACCCGCAATACCCCAAAAAAACCTTCTCGCAGTTGTGTCAAAAATTCGTCGGCGCGGCAATGAGAAAGAACCTCTATGCGATCATCCGTGATTTTGTCACCCTCACCTGACATGCGGGACGAAGACACATTAGAATCCTTACATCGCGCTCGAGCCCGCTCTGAGCTTAACTCCCTTGATGAGAGTGTTGATGAACTTCAGGCGCTGGGAGTAGTGCGAACGAGGCCTGAGTCTCGCATGGTACGTCAGAGTTGAATTTTGAGAACTGTCTCGCATGGGATTTGCAAGCTGCGGGCTCTTCCGGCCGTCTCCGCGCATAGCTCTTGGTGAAGTCAACGGAGAAGTCGGACATTGCGATCAAAAGAATGTGACCGACCCAGCAGGCTAAAGGCTAAAGTGCCTCCCCTTCATTGAAGGAAACTACAGTTGGGGAGTTTAGGGTATATAGGGCTTCTGCAAGGCTTCTATAAGGCATAAAGACCTTCTATAAGGATCCTATAACGGTAACTACCCACCTGCAAATGTCCTAGACTTCACTCTCAACGCAACAGATCGCAAGTGAAACTCTCCGAAAGCCTGTTTTTTTATTTTTAATTAAACGCGAAACTCTCCGAATTCGCTCCCTGCCTTTTGGGGACTTCTCAGCTCGAAGCCGAAAGGCAGACCACCGCAAAATATCTCGGTCTGACCCACCAATAAGGCAACCCTAATCAGTGTTATAACATGAGATTAATGACAGACCAAGACGGTTCAACTCCTGCAGGATGTCCAAGCAGATCTCCCCGTTGTTGTAGATGTTCGGATGAAACATCTGTGATCGACGGTTCAAACAAAGGCAGCTGCAAATGATCGGAATGTAAGTCCGCGCAGTCTAACAGGCCTTCGTCAAGAATCTTACATGCGGAGGCTTCGTCGGGAACTCCTCCGAAAACGTAACCTTCCAACAGGAATACGTAATCCAACACGTAATATTACAACAACAAGGCTTTGGTTGAAACTGGATCACAGCATGTCCGTACATTGGGGCATGCCTCAAGCTGGAAGGTTCCGCCCTCCCATGGTGTGTCATCCTGGCGACATTTGCTGAATATGGTGCATAAATGTACCTATCTATAAAAAGTATAACATATATATATATACATATATATATATGTGTGTGTGCGTAGATATATGTAAGAATTTGTTATATACAGATATATATATATATACATACATACATGCAGAGATTTATATAGATATCACATATATTTTTCTTTTTTTATTATTTTTTCTCCCCCACCGTGTTAGCCCTACTGTATGAGTTGACCCTGAATCATATACCTCAAGAGATCACCGTGTACAACCCCGAATGTAAACTCTTGCAGCTTATAAGCGCCATGTAGGGTTCTAAACAACCTTTGCATGTCCGACCCTCATAGGGGCTGAGGTGAATATCAACTAACCGAAACATCAAACACAGGTTGAAAATCATATGCCGCAGTTGACACACTGCATTGCAAGTAAATGTGAATACACATCTTCACACATCAACGAAGATTACAATCGCCAGTTGTGCAAACTTGAAACTAGGCACAACCTCGAAATGTTCAATTGAAACTGACAAAAGCTTCCCTGTCGGCAAGCGTGCTGATATGAATATGTGTACAGGTGATCGAAGAATGGGGAAAGGGTGCCCGCAGCTTACCTAACTGGAATCCAGTGAGAATTACTGCGTGAGCATTCACTGGAACACTTTGTGACATTAATCAGAGCTTCGCACTTCCTTTTTGCCTCTGCACAACTGAAGCGATCCATTGGCTCTCCACTGGAAGTCGTCATACGAGATGCCCGGGCATACACATAAAGGAGCATCAGTAGAAGGAGCCGTTCGGCAGCCGGGTGGGCGGGCGGGAGCTGAAAGTCCTGAGCGGTACATTGGCATCATACACTGCTCAGCTCTATCTGTCAGAGCTTCGCACTTCTTTTTTGCCTCTGCACAACTGAAGCGATCCATTGGCTCTCCACTGGAAGTCGTCATACGAGATGTCCGGGCATACACATCCAGGAGCATCAGTAGAAGGAGCCGCTGTAAAAGCTTTCCCGTCCGTCCCACAAATAGCCAATGAATGGCCGCTAGCCGGCCGAGAAAAGTCCAAACCAGGAGGTCGAAGGTACGCCAAGTTGCTTCCATTGTACCACCTGCTCCAGGGTGGGCGTAAAAGCCTGTGCCACATGTAGGACTCGTTCACGTGTGGCCTGGGGCAAGGAGGGGAGGAAGGTACAGGCCATGACCTCCTGGATATAAATCTCCATCACGCGATGCGAAGCCCAACGGCCACGGCGTCTCACCAGCTCGCTGTTCTCCGTTGCAGACAGAAGGTGTGTAGCACCTCCTGGCCTAAAAGAGCCTAGGTCCAGGATTCGGTGCCGCACTCTCGCCGTGCTTATTCCCAGCCTTTCCAGTACCAGGTCAAAACGCCTGCGAAGAGTCTGTGAGCAGCGGGGCCACAGTCGTTCAGAAGCAGGGAGGTCGCCGAAGGCTGTCTCGACTAGCAGCACCAGGTCGGCCTGCTCAATCTTTGCAGCCTGGTGCCTTGCCATGCGCATCCTCGTCTTCGGCTCCTCGATCCGGGCCAGGATAAAATGCTGCACCAGCATAACGTCCCTTGGCAGAACCAGGTTTGCTCTGACCATGGAGGTGGCCTCCCCGATGCGGAGGAGGCCTCCGCATGCCATAGCAAAAATGCCAGCTTCGGCCAACCATCCCCAGCATAGGCAAGTTGTCAGCATAGATAATAAAATCACAGCTGGCATTGCCACGTGGTGGGTCGAAGGCTCCAGGGCCATCCAAGAAAAAGCAAGGTCCCATGAGGCCTGCATGCTTCGCTTCAGAATGGGCCTTCAAGGCAGTGATCCCGTTAATGAGCTCGGAGTAGTGCCAGTAAGGGCGACCGCTCTCGAAAAGCATGCGGCATAGCACACAACCCATGCATTGACAGTCTCAGCTGTAGCCTTGTTGGGGTCAAGGAGGTCATCGAGATGAACACCTGCAACCTGTAGCCAGCTCGAAAAAAGGCCTAGCAGATAGGCTCTGTTCCGCGAGGTCCTCTCAAGAACCGGCCGTCCTGTGGCGAGTTGGCTGCCAGCCCGAGCCTTTGCACGGGCACGGTCCCTGGGGTTCCGAGGCTCAAGGGCAGGCGCTTCTGAGCCGCTGCAGGGAGGCCCTTTTTTTCGGGAAACCAAGCATGCTGTCGAAGTCCTTCAGCCTGTGGCCACCACCGGCGCAGGAACCAAAAAACCCCGACCTACATCCCTGAACTTTAGGGTAAGGGCCTTAAGGAAGGGGTCGCCTCCTGAGCTACGGCTGGAGCAGGCAACAAGCAGTCCAAGGCGCAGCCAGTTTGCGGAGGCACGGGAGAGGCCACCTAGGCAAGAAAGTCCATACAGGGATCGGTCCTCGAACGCTTCGGCAAGGCACCCAGAAACCGGGGGAGGCAGAGGCCGGTCTCTGGTATAGGGCAATCGGAGACGTTGAGACGAGTAGGGCAGAAGAGGGGCCCAGGGTAAAGTCCATAGCCAACCTGGAGCGCGGCCGCCTTCAAGACGATAGGCCGGAGGAGGCGGGAACTGGTTCTGCCCTTGAAAAACCGCCCCGAGCACAACATTGGAGTCGAGATCACAGCCATGGGCCCGAAGGCGAAGAGCGCGAAGGTACGCGCGCCCCTCAAGCACATTTATGTGAGAGCGGTCTCGCCAAGGCCAGGACGAGTCGGTGCCCCAGCTCTGGGACACCATGACGTCGTTGAGCAGCACACTCTCCAGACCGGGTCCGCCGCGACAGCCGAGGCCGAGGCAGGCCTACTGTCCCGCAGCAGGCCCTCAGAAGGAGCAGTGCCACTAGCGGCAGCCAGGGTGAGAAGAGCAACGGCAGCCGAGCGTGAAGCGGAGAAAGCGTCGCAACCTGCGAGGAAGCTCTCCTAAAACCATGGGGGCTGACAAGGTTTTCCCATTGAGGCAACCTCCGAGCAAGGGAGAGGGCAGGCTGGAGGAGAACCGCAGGCACACCACAACGGGCGCCGGCAACTAGGAGCAGGGCGAGGGCAGAACAGAGAAGCTTCACATCCTTGGCAGCAGCAGGGGGAGGAGGCCTCCCAAAAAGTCTGGGCCTGGAGGCAGGAGAGAAGGACCCGGCCGGGGCACGATCAGTAAGGAACGCAGCCGGCGCTCTTGAAGCAACCATAAAATCCACTCCATGCAAGGTAAGTCCACAATCCTGAAGAAAGGGGAGGCCTGAGCATCGATCACTGGCCCTAGGGAGAAACCAGAGGGAAAGCCATCGGTAGCCCAGGGCCCTCCAGTACGAACCTCCAGGAAGTCGTAAGAGCATGGCGGGGGTCTCGTCGGGCGCCCATCAAGCAGGCCTTCTTCCTCACCCTGCACAGAGCACTGCCAAAGGTGCTCAGCAACAGCAGGGCTGACAGTTGTGCGGCAGACCGCCTCTCTGGCAAGAGAGGCATCAGAACAACCTACCTTAGGGTTCTCCCGGGCCGCAACGTTGGAGACCATCACCGAACCAAGAACCGAAAGGAGCACAAGGTCCTGCCGGGCTGCGGGGCCTGGAGGCTGTAAGTGGCTTCTGCCGAGGGTTTTCTCACCAACAGCAAAGAGGGCCCAATCGCAGCCATAAGGCACCTGCGGTAGAGGAGGGCGGTCACCCAACAACCGGAGAGCACAGAACCAAGCTCCTCACTGACATAGCGGCTCGAGGCAACAGCCAGAGAGGCGTGAGCTAAAGCCAGGCGGCGGGAGGCAGGAAGTCCAACCAAGCAGCAGCCAGCCCGTCGATTCGGGCTCCGGCCACTGTACAAAAGACCAAGGCTGTCCCACTTCCGAAGGAGACCCATCACGTTCTGGGCCCTGTCGTGGAAAGGTCCTGGGCTAAGGAAGGGCAGCAGGAGGCTGGGTCAAGGTGCTGTGCAATATCCCAGGCCCTACCCGACAGCGTCACACGGCTGGGTCAAGGTCCCGGTAAGGTCGTAGCTTCTCAGGGCCGCCCGGCAGGTGAGGCACGAAAGTTGCATCGAGATGGGGCAGGGGGCGCCCAAGGTAACAGTCATCCTGGAGCCCTGCGTCAGTGGCGCGCGGCCACTTGAAAGCCCTTTCGCCCAGGCTGCAGCTCGGAGCCACCCAGCCGGGCGCACGCCTTCACAAGACGAGCAAGGGCCGAGGCCTCGGCAGTCGAAGGAGGCCTCCGCAAAGCTTCGGGGGGCACGGGCTTACCTTCAGAGTGGAGGAAGTTAATAAGCGCCAAGACCACCATGGCAAGGACCACACCAACATGCTGGGCAAAAGTGCGGCGCCGTTTGCGGGACCGGCCGCTTGCCAGAGAGGAGGGCAAGGGCAGCGGGAAGAGGGCGGTAGCGACAGGCAGCGAGCTGTCGCGGTGCAGAGGCAAAACAGTAGAAACAAATCGGGCAAAGCGAGTGCCAGACTTAAGCACTCGGCGCACGAGAGAGGAGGCCCAAAGCCTGAAACTGAATCCCGAACCCGGCTTAAGAACAGAGCCCTCAACCGGGTGCCGTGCATGCCTGTTGCGGCCGTCCCTCAGGACTGCTTGGCTGAAGGGAGGGTCTGGCTTGTGCGGCGGCGGCTTCTTTGCGGCACCCACCTCGCTTCGCCTCTGGCCTATGGCCTCGACCTCCTTGAGGTAAGAGACCGCCACCGTTATCCACCTCTGGTGGGCAAGCTGTGTGAACGCCCTCGCGATGGCAGCGGGGCCCTACTGGAAAAGTGAGGAAGGAGGGTCGGGCTGGTCGATGTTGGCCTGCCAGACCCAGAGCATTCGACTGGGCAAGGACCGCGGCTGCTCCGGCAGGAAGGGGACTTGCCGCCCCCCTCACCTCAGTGCTGTCCATTCACCACCTTGTGGGGCCCCCTCCTGCGACCCGAGCCAGGCCGAAGCTTCCTTCTCCTGCCATCGACCACGAGGCCCAGCTTGCACTTATCACTGGATGCCTCTGCTGCGGGGCCTGAGCCAGGGAGTTGCAGGTTGCAGCAGGGGGGAGGAGTGCAGCCAGTTGCTTTGCCATGCCACCCACGAGCTCTTGAAGGGCGGCCTGGTCTTGAGCAAGTGTCGCCACGGTGACCTTGGGCTTTGGGCGCTGAGCCGGCAGTCTGGTAACCTGACCTGGCCTCGAGCAGGAATTCGGCGGCCCACTCGCGGGCCTGCAGCAAGACATCGGAAGCTAGAGGGAAGAGCCCGGGGTCCTCGGTGGAGAAGGGAGGTCTGGGGTGGCAAGTGCGGGCGCCAGCTCGGAAGACAAGTCCACGAGGAGCGCGCGGATCGTCTCGTAAGGTTGCGGTGCGATCCTCTCGCCGGAGGGAGCCAGCCGAACAGCCTGAGCTTCTATCTCGAAAGAAGGCCCTATTCCCTCCGGGCCATCGTTGACCATGCCGTCCTGCAGGGCCTCGGCCGGGAGGTAGCCAAGGGGAAGGCACGACATAAATCCTCCACCACGCTTCATCACCGCATAGGAGATGCAAGTCACAGGGTCCTCGGTTCCTCACGGGCAACGAGAGAAAGTCCATCAGGCCTCGGGGAACCCAAGGCCGGCACCTGCAAAGTAAAGCCGGGCTTCCGCTTCCGAGGGAAAGCCGTGGGAGATAGAGCCTCCACGGCGAAGCTCACCAACAATGGCCTTGTAAGCCGCGAAAGAATGCACCACAGTAGGGCTCTCCAAGCCCCGGGCCGCAATGACACAATAAACGCGGTTGCTCAAACCTAAGGCCTCGGAGTGGTTCGGACTCTCGACCTGGGCCTCCAAGACAGCTCTAGCCCAGCAGCCAGCGAGCCACGCACGGAAGGCCCTAGACTGCCAAGACAGACTGCCCCCACGAAGCACACGGCAGGTGTCACGTAGAGACAGAGGAAGAGGCGGGAAATCAGCCTCTATCTCCGACCTCGGCCTCAAAGGGCCTTGCAAGGGGTACTCGGGCACGCGCAAAGGCGAGGAAAGAGGAGCTCGGGCAGGAACCTGGGGGGCCTGTGGGGAAGACCTGTGCAGCAGAGGCTCGCGCCGCCTCAGACAGAACCCGCGGTGGCCCGGAGGCCTGCAAGGGAGATCCCGAAGAGGAAGGGGAGGAGAACAAAGACCTGACCTGGGGCCTGGCGGGCACCTGGCAGCCTGAGGAAAAGTCAATCAGGAAGGCGAGGGCCCAGAGGCCTGCAAAGGATAGGGCGACTCAAGAGATGCCAAGGCAAGGTAGGCACGTGAGGCAGGACTAGGGTCCACAAGTTCAAAGGAGGAAGTCGAGCTCTCCAGAGAACTATGCACGCGGGGCTCAGGGGCAGCAGGCACGGCACGGGATCGGGACTAACCCTAGAAACCGAAATACGAAACCCACTGACTTCAATATGAAGATCCCTGTCCATACGAGTACCCAGCCAGTCGCTTCCTCGCATCTGAAGAGAGAGCTCGTGTGACCTGGGACGCTTCGGCCGGGGCAAGGTACACGTCACGAGCCCCACCAGTCCTTCATATCCAGGCCAAAACCACTGTATAAGGACCCCAAGCAAATAAGCCGCGAGAAGGCTTCCCACTCCTGGCCCACGACAGTGGGAGGGACACCCAAGTCCCCACCAGTTGCTCTCTGAGCCTTGCACAATGAAACCTGCAAGGCTTCGAAGGAGCTCCAGGGCCATGAAAACCCTACCTGGAGCTGAAAGTCTTGAGCGGTACATTGGCATCATACACTGCTCAGCTCTATCTGTCAACGGTGATGTAAGTTTCTGTGCGCAACTTTACATATCTAGATAGACAAACATGCAAGAGGGAGGAGTTAAGTACTACCTCCTATTGAAGATGAGCACCACCGTCTATCCAGCAGCAACTATGTCGCAACACGTTGTGTACATCATGTCAGCATTCCGCGGTTGATTTTTGGCTTATGACTGCCACTGTTCATACAAGGTGACTTGGAAGTTGCATAAAACATCAAGGCAATACCCCAGGTAACTTAAACTAAGCATTGACTAAGCCATAATGCATAATCATCAGGTACACATGGTTAGGTTTTCAAGTACATGCACTACACGTGACTTAAGTTGAAATATACCTGCCACTAAGCATTGCAGAATACTGTGTGAATTTTGACCACATTAAAACATGTTCGTGAAACGATAAATGAACATATCAACATGGCTCAGAAATGAACACGAACCAGGCATGAAGAGACTGTTTGGACAGTTGTTAGCTGCATGCTAGGTTGTCTCAGTACTCATTGGGTAAGCCCCATGTAAATACTATAAAAACAAGTCAGATACTCGTCGAATATTAGTTCAGAGTCAAACTGAACGTTGGACAGAGCACTACGATACTAGACGAGCAACTCTTTCTGCACATCTTTGATCAATGGTCCCACATGGTCTCAGTGCAATTCGGTATGTCTCAGTGTGCACGTTTGACCCCTGATCCTTCAAAAAAATATGCGTGTATGCATGTATATGTGGGTATATATATAGAGATATATATATATAGATGTATATAAGGGAAAACTCTCTGTGTGCATCTTTGACCCCTGATTTTGGGGTTCGGCTGGGTTTCAGCATAACTCAATGCTTCTACGGTCTTTCAACTGACACCCTCCTGCCCATTCAAGATGTGTGGAATAATTGATTCTGGTGGAGGCCTCAGTATGACCTACCCCGGATCAAAGATGTAAGGCTAACCTTGTTGTGTACACCTTGGACCGTGCATCTTTCGTCTCGGCTGGGCTTCTGGGCGCTTTTGTGCTATCACAGCTGAGACGAATACTTCCTGTCCCAAAAGAATTCAGAATGATTCAGTAATATTTATAGGGAAGGAAGCCCGGCCCCTTCCTTGCTGTTCAAAGCGCGTATGTCTATCATTGCACTACGAGAAACAAACCTGGTGCTCACACCCATACCCGGTCTGCACTACATTCGACTAATTATTACTTGAGATGTCGTATCAGACAACTCAGCTCTTATGCAAAGCCGACACCACCTGGTTCGAGTGTACAGTATACATACCACACTATCTGAGCTATACTTCGCTTTGCTGAAACCCCGCTGGCGCATGTAGGGTTCGGGTCGAAACATATTTTTAAAGTCCAAAGGAAGGCTTTGTTCAAAGGGGTGACTCCACCACAATGTACGGTATGCAGATATACACATACATATATATGATCCCGGTCCTCGGTTCGCCAACCCCCCCCCCATGGTATCTCCCCCCCACCCCCAGCACTCCCAGGCCAAATATGCCGAATCCCTGTGACTGTGCACACTTCTCCCACATGGCGGCTCGAAAACCATCAACTGTCACGAGGATCTCGTCCCAAACACACCCGATCCTTGTGACAGTGGACACTTTCCACCCAGGACTCTGCCATGAGGGTATTGAAAATAAAACTGTCACAAGGATCGCGCTCCTGTCAGGCCCGCTTCCTGTGCCAGTTGACCCAAGAAAGGAACATGATATGATGATGATGATGATGATGATGAGGAGAAGTGGAGGAGGAGGATGACGATGAGGATGACGATGAGGATGACGGTGTGATGATGATGATGCTGATGACGATTTCGAAACACAGGGCGACCCAAACCGCGAACCACACCACACCGCAGACCCAAACCCCGAGCCACACCACACCACAGGAGTGCGGTTGGGGACTCCAAGCAGACCCAAATCCCGAACCGGGATCTTCTACATACATACATACATACATACATACATACATACATACATACATGGATGCATGCATGCATGCATACATACCTACATACATACATACATGTACTGACACATACTGCTACTATACATGCAAACATATACATCTTTATCGCCACCAAACCTCAACACAGCCGGTAGCGCCGGACCAAACATCACAGCTGTCCAGCTCATGATGTCATCTTGTGCAGGAGATGCACTGACCCCTATCGAACAGGGCTTGCTTGCGACCATGACTGCAACAATAATCTTCATGATCGATTGGAACATCTGCCTTGTGGCGGGTCTGACTGCAGCTTCTTGAGATCCCGTATCAGCCTGTCGGCAAAACGAACACTCGTGGAAAGAGGGCGGTGACTGGCATTGCCACACTCTGAAAAATGCTGGCATCTAACACCATCAAAAGCTTGCCTGCGCCGCGCCACCGTAGTCATGCCTGCTGGAATGATGCAAGACGAAACAGCATGAAGGACAAAACAACTGCAGCAAGTGGTCAGCTTGTGGCCTTGGCCGTGGCAGCACACGGGAGCTAGTTGAATAAGGTTGAAACAACGGGTCTTCTTGAATTCCTTGCAGTATCATGCTGCGCCGAGGCGCGAGTGTCCCATAACACTTGCTAGGCTCGTTCGTCTCTGCGGTTCCCTCGTGTCGTTCAGACGGACTCACGGACATCTTCTTTGAATCAGTTCATAGCTGTCGAAGCTGTTTAACGAATCATAGCGCGAATACTGCTCTGAACCAACATGAAAGCCAATCTCAGGACACTGTTGTGCAAACTGCATTGCAGGCTGCCAAAAGCTGCCGACAACGTGATCTCGGTTGCCTGGCATTTTAAACAGTCTGAACAATCGTCTCCACGGACCAAGTCCTGCGCTTGTCCCTTACGTCTTCGCGTCAAGCGGCAGTGTAGCCACATCGAAAAATACAACAATCTAAGTACATTCGCAAATTTGATGCAGGTGAAACACGGATACAGCAGCAGCAGCAGTTACAAAACACTTTCACAGCTCTTCCTGCCATCATGCCGTGTGCAAACTATACTGCACTACACCGGCATCCTCCCCAGTAGCATGCTGTACAGGCGAGACTGCTGAGAGTAGTCACAAACAAAGATGCCAGTAGCTACCATCTGACTTCATGCGAAGTCCTTGCGCTACCAAAACAGCAGCTGTCTCTGCAAAATATCAGGGCAGGTTTGGAGGAAATGGCTTCAAGCGACAGTGGAAAAATCACAGCAATGGAAGCAATTCAACACACGAGCACTTCAACAATGCACAAACACTCGCACACCCAGGTGCAAACTGAGAGCTGATGGCACTGCTGTGTGATATGGAAAACCAGAGCTCTGCCGCTGATGGGTCTCCTCCTGTTGCCACAACATGCACACGGCTCAGGCCAAGACGACCTTCGTCGCTTGACGATGAGCTTCCTGTGCTACAGGATCAGACCTCCAAATTGTCCTATCTAGTCTTCGTCTCATCAGAGCTTTGTTGAACGTGGGCTCTCTTGATCGCCTGGAGCGCACTGCGTCAGCAGTTTCCAGGCATGAGAGCAACCGCTTCCTTTACAGCTAAATCCGCGTGCCAACTCGAACGGCTTCCGCGAAGTGTCCTATCATCAGAGCTGCGCACCGGACTGCGAAGCCAGGTGCGGCAAGCTCGGGACACAGCCAAAATCCGATTAGAGGTCTGACGGGGGATGAGACACGAGTACACGCAGTGCAAAGCGATTGAGTTGAAATGTACCTGGCACGTTACAGGAACGACATCTCCCATCTACCTTGCTGTGCCATACAATTTGGCGGAAGATCCAGCATCAACCAATTTAGGAGGCGAAGCCATGCTCAGCAAAGCTTGCCCCAAGACGATCAGAATCGTCTCCAGCACAGGAGCAGCAATAAGAGCGCTTCGTGCCAATCTGTTCCGACGGAAGCGTGTGTCTCGTGTCTGTATGTGCGGGACGGAGCTCTGCTTTTTCACGGTTGGTGGAAAGAGGCACGACGCGTTTGTGTAAGCTTCATATCATGTGAGCGCAAAACTTCTATTTGCAACTCAAGGTATCAGAACTATTTCAAGGTTGTATCAAGCAGCCAACTTGGACCAGCGATCCACAAATACACAGAAGTGTTGTTGGCCTCTGTTGCAGCTGCACGGGAAAATCTTTACATGCTACAGCAGCCGATCACCCCCCGCCGTAGAGGTATAGTCCTGCAGTACGTTCCGGCAAGGTGATCGCAGCAAGCATACAAAGGGAAGAACACTGCACTGGTGCGGATGAAATGCAACACGAAGGTGGACCCTAGGCAAAAATGTTAATGTATCTCGAGGCAACCGAAATTGCTTCATGCTTGCGTGATGAATGAGACAGACTGGGAGCACGACCTATGCAGCCGCCAACTGCGCAACCACAACCGCCTGCGTATGCCCGTGAAGTGAATGCAAGCACTTCCCGGTGGTCGCACTCCTCAGCTGTCCAAATACTCGGTGCCGACTCCAAGAAAAAGCCGACACTACGAAAAGAAAGTTGCATAAGAACGACCCAGATGCCAAATGCCAACTGCTCCATCATAAGAGGTGGTGGCAACGATGAGCCCGTCAGGAGAAAAACTGGCACAGCGAACCCAGTCCTCATGCAAGCCTTCGAAGGAGAGCTGCATTTGTCCGGTTGACGCATTGAAGATGCGGACTGTGTCAGATCCACATGCCATGAGAAGCCGTGAACCTTCGGGCGAGAAACAAGCTGAACTGACAACGCCACCATCGGCTTCCAGGCTCAGCGTGCAGTCTGTGTGCGATCCATCAGTGATGTCGTCTGCAAGGTCCCACAACTTCAGAGTTCCATCATGAGCCGCGGTGATGGCCTGCAATCCTGTTGGAGAAAAGGCGCACAAAGTAAGGGCGCGTTGATGGCCACTGAGAACCCGCATGCATCTGCCATTCCCGCAATTCCAAACTCTTGCTGTTGAGTCTGCAGATGCAGTTAACAGATACTGGCTGTCAGCTGAAAATACAGCATGCCTGACGGTCCCGACGTGGCCGTTGAGGGTAAACTGAAGGTTTCCAGATGCATCCCAGAGCTGCGTGCACGCACCAGAACCTGTCGCGATGAACTTGCCACAAGCTGAGAAAACTGCGAAGGTCATCTCGGAGTCGTCGTCAGAGTCTGAGTCCAACTGGGACGAGGATGCTTTTGGAGGAAACATGCGGTGCATGATCTGGCCGGTTTGCGTACACCAGATGTTTGCATTGCCATCTGCATCAACTCCTACTACCTTCTGCCCGTCTACCGAAAAAGAAGCACTTTGAGCGCCCCCTTGCAATCGACTGAGAAATCGCAATGTCTCTGCACAGTACAAGAGTCCACTGCCTCCATCCTCTGTGGACAACATCAACAGCTGGCCACCAGGAGACATGCTTGCATTCTTCAAGGCTCCCTGCGCGTGCAGGCGAAGAGGCTGGCCGGAACCATCTTCAGGCGAGTTGCTCGTGTCTTGATCGAAATTCCACAGGCATGCCTTCGCTAGAGACAAAATGCTCCCTTCCGACACTCTCTTCTATCATTCAATAAAACCTTACGAAAAGGATTGCTCTGTGAACGCTCCAGCTGCAGTACCATCATGCGATGCTGTCAGGCATCTTACCGGAGCTCTAGCCACATAGACGGTATCGCCATCCTGCAACCCGGCCTGCATGGACAGCATCTGTGAAACAGAGTCATCAGGAACAAATGCTCGACACAACAGAGGCACCTCGCTGATTGTCTTGTGCTGGGGTAGGACCTGCAACACGACAGCTCAATCAAGCAATAAGATTTCGATTGATGGGCAACATGGAACTTGAAGGAACAACCATTGTCTGCGTGAAAGCCTGTTGAAGCTACGGCCATACACACACAGACAAACAAACGAACACACACACACACACACAAAAAAAAAAAAACACACACACACACACTCCACGCACTAAGACGTGCTTGCCTCGGACTGGAAAATGATAGAGTGAGCCACCACGACCTTGTGACTCGTTTCCTTCACAACTGCTTCGCAGAGCTGAACCACGAAATCTGTAGATCTTAGCCGCACTTGTGCGATGGACTCGCCACTGACAGCGCTGCAAATGGTGATCCTGACCTTCTTCTGTGTCTCAACTTCGAACTCTTCCAACTTTGCACGCAACCCATCAAGGATCTCCTCCTTGCGTTCCTGTTCTTCCTCGCTGTCACTTGTTGATGATGATACTTGCCTTTCGGCCTTCTCCAAGGCATCACGCAAGTGCTGCAACCCATCACTTTCGTCATGCTCAACTCCCTCGTTGAACATGCTGAACGGCCATCGGAACAAAGAAGATGCCATTGCGGCAGGCTGGTCGGACCCTCCCCAAACAGCTACTGACTACTGAAGACTCCGCAATCTAGTGCCGAGACCCTGCACATGTAGGATGCTATACAAGTCCAACACATCGAAGCAAGGAAAAATATTTTGCTTCTGTGACCCGGCTGCCGGGCAGCTCCGAGGCACATTAATTAGCAGAGTGTTCCGGACGCCACATCCCAACAAAATGATCGCCGCCTTTCTGTTGAACTGCGCTGTCCGACCGGGAATAGCGGCACGCCGCTGTGCCCCACTTGGCAAGCGATGGTTCGCTGACACAAACAGGCGATACATGCAGCCATGCAAAAGACATACTTCGTTTGTGTAGCTTGCCATGGCTGCTACAGGCAAACAACTCATTATCCACCTCCATCTCAATTCAAAATGTGCCAACGGCTCAGGCTGGGACATGAGGAGGTGGCCCAGCACAACACGGAGCAAAAGCAGAGAGAGGTCGGGCACAGCAGAATTTCAAACAGCACCTTGCAAGGGCGGCAACGCAACGGCACCACAATACTGACCGCCTACGGGGCAGTGCCACCTTCAGGGATCAAGTTCAAAAACACCACGTCAACAAACATGCCAGCTTCAGGTGAAGGCAGCGAAGCCATGTTCGGAAAACAATGAGGGTGTGGTTGCAAATCATGACACCACCTTGAAGAAGTCGCCCCATGCTTCCCTGTCAAGTAACTGGTCCGGATTTGATCTAGCTGATATTGCAGATATTTGTTACTGTGTAACCGGGGGGGCCCCAAATAATCGG